GTTTACCACCACAGCTGTGCCCAAAGCAGGGCCTGGCACACAGTAGATCTCAGCAACACTTTCTGGATATGAGTGAATGCTCTGTCAGGAACCAGATGGCCCCCTCATACATGTCAGAGTTCTGTCACACACACAGAGTAAGCAGAGAAAGAACCCCGAGACGGCAGGAGTGCAGAGCACAAAGTGAACTACCTTGTTTCCAGGTCCTTTCATTCTTTCCCTTCTTTGATGATTTTGGAAGAGCAGTTGCCATGAATTTAGGCAGCTTCTGATCCTGACCCAGTGATGGACTGATTTTTATACATTATTATTATTATTTTAAAGATCAGTTTTACCTCACAAGGTCAGGAAACAATCAATTTAGAGTACTGATGTCTGTTTTTATCTACTGGAAACAAACATGTATATGGTTCTGCCTTCAGGCACCTTCAGATGAATTAGAGCTACAGACCCTGAACAGAAAGCTAAAGTCCTACAGCATGCTTATGACTGGTCCAGGGAAGAGAGCATCATCCAGGGCCAGCAGCAGCATCTAACGGGGCAAAAATGAAGTTCTCATCTGACTGAAGTCTACTGGAAGGAGGCAGTGGGCCCGAGTAAGACTTACAGGGGAAGCAGGTGCATGCAAGGGAAAGGAGACCATGATGGGGGAGGGAAGGACCTCTGTGACCACACCTCTAAGCTCAGAGACCCCACGAAGGTGGAAGGGCCACTGACAGAGCTACAACTGCAGGGGTTCGAGGATCTGCTGTTGTGCCGAGCACATGATGGGCTGAGAAGATTCTGTGCAGGGAAATAAGAAGCCCCTACTGGATTTAACTTCCATTTCTAGTTAGAAATGTCACATTATTTGGAGACTGGGTGGGGTCAGTACAATATAATGTGGGGTAAAGGAGATCAGTCCACAGTCCTCATGAGAAAGGGGTTCCCTGCTGAAGAGCAGAACGCGGCTCCATGGAAAGAAGTGAAGAGAGAGACACCTAATCAGCAACAGGTTACATCACAGATGAGGGTTAAGAGTACCTGACACAGTCTGCAGCCTCCCTGCATGGCACTCCTAGGCTGCAGGGCCATTTACAGATGTGCCAGGACATTACATGGAGGACATGCATATGTGTGGAAGCCTCGTGCGTGGCCATGACCACAGAGAGGCGGGTGGGGGAGATATGAATGAGTTTCCTTCTTGTTTTACCATTTGCAGTGGGGGGGAAGGGGGTGCATGCTCCAAATCTCTTTTGACTAGAGTAATGCTCTCATAGAACAATACAAACTGCATTACACTGGTCCTGGAGCACTAAATGAGAACTCAGAGGTTAAACCTCTGTATGTGACCCAGCGGTGCACAGCCATGAGGAAAGAAGGGAAGTTTAGGCAACGTTTGCAGGAAGAGCGGTGATACTGTGCCAACACATGACTTCTCATACACAGATGCCAATTCTGAGCAGACTGGTGGCTAAGTGTCACAAAATCATGAGAAGACAATGCAGGCAAATAATTACCCTGCAGTATAAAGTATTTACTAACCAACACCTGTGGTGATATATTATTTATGATTTACTAAAGCTTTCCTGAAGATTCAGAAAGCAAAATCAGCCATAAGCCACAGAAGCCAGGCACACATCTTTAATTCCAGCAGCCAGAAGCTTGGAGGTAGTGGTACACACCTTTAATCCTAGGACTCAGGATTAAGAGGTAGGCAGATCTCTGTGAGTTCAAGGCCACCCAGGGATACACGAGATTGAATCAGATCACACACTTTTAATCCCAGCACTAGAGGGGTATAAAAGATAGAAGCAGGGTCTTCAGTATGCAGTAGAAAGAAGGCATTCATTCTCCAGCCACACTGAAAATAGGAGAGTTCATTTTCCAGTCACACTGAGGAGAGGTTACAGACTGAGCTTGGTAAGAGCTTGTGGAGACAGGATCAGTCCATTCAGCCTGAGGTAGAGGTAAGAAGCTAGTGGCCAGCTGTTTTGCTTTTCTGAACTTCAGCTTGAAGTTTGAACCCCAATATCAGTGTCTGGGTCTTTTATTTCTCGTGTTACAAAGACCCAAGAGATACAAGCCAGGCAAAAGCAAAATAGAATGTACCCAGTTTATAGTGAGAGGAACAGGAACGTGAAATCGCTACAAGCTGGGAAAAAAATTTCCACCCGGAACTAACAAAAGAGGGCACCTGAACAAACCAAAAGTGAGGAAGAGAAGGACAAGCCCAGTCTTGTCAGGGAGGGGGCAAACACGTCACACAAGGAATATGCTGCTGGGCCAAATTAGGGACTGGGTACTGTCCCACCCAGTCAGGGAGGGCATAGGAAACTACAGGATGTATCAGCATCTATAAAATACTGTTTGATTTGGCAAGTACTTCTAGAAATCATGAGAAAAACTCTGACAAAGGGAAGAAAAGAACAGGCAAGGACACTTCCTGCAATACTGGCCCTAGCCCTAACAATAATGTCCCATAACTGGAGTTGCATGTAAATCAATTGCAGCCACACAGTGGAATCTGAGGCTGAACTGTGTACCGACAGGGAACCATCATGATGAAGATATTCTGTGACAAAAGTCAAGATACTGAATAGAACATTATAAAGAGGAGTGGGCTAGAAGGAAGAGACTGGAATCCACTAGACTCAGAGCACAGGCTATTTCTGCAGCTGCAGCAGAAGCCAGTGAAAGCCATGGCTTCTGGAAGACGGGGGAGGGGGTTGAAGGGGTGGGGGGTGGGGGGTGTCAGGTAGGAAAGAGCTGTTAGTGGCCACCTTCCTGCACAGCCCAGAGAACATTAATTTGGGTTTTAAGCAGGCGTATTATGCACTACCTTCGCAACAGTCTGCTGAGAGAATTTCATGCTTCCTAAGAAAACTAAAAGGGACAAAGTTGAAAGAATAACCAAATGGTAGTATATTTACATGAATGGATACTATACTGAAGAGAGCAAGGCAAGTCTGAACATGTGTATTACAGAATTACTGGGGTTCCTTTCTGCAGTAGTAACAATTACTTTAGAAATTAATTGTGGTGCTAGACACCAAACTCTACAAGTGCACTTAGTTGTAATACACTGTGCAGTTTGGGTTCATGAACTGCAGAGTCTGTGACATACAAATACACACTCACACATGTATGTGTGCGCATGCACATACACACACTTTTACTGCTGTGTTAGGACTCCAACTCTAGGCTTTGCGTATTCTAGATACACACTCCACCACACAGCCACCCTCAGTCCTGTAAATTATCATCCGTGGGGTGGAGGAGGAAGAGATGTTTAGGAGCTATAATCCGCAAGTTAAATCCAACTCATCATTGGCTTTTCCTTTATGCCCTCATCTGACTCATCGCCTTATACCAAAAAGTCCGCCTGAAGCACAGCCACAGCTATAACATGTTTTCCATGTCATTTTACATTCACACATTATAACAGCAGAATCCAGAGAGTTAAGGGAAAAGAAAAATAGTTCCATGAAGTTGAGTGAAAAACAACCGTAGTTTAAAAACTACATGAAACACCATTTCTACAAGTGTGTTAGGGAGTATCTAGAGGCTAAGTCTCCAGAGTCATCATGCCAGGGGCTCTTCTGAGTAGTGATGGTCAGGCAGGAGTTGGCAGGTCAGGCAGGGTTTGGTTCTGTGTGTAGTGTGTTCTGTATGTAGTGTAGTTTGGTTCTGTGTGTAGATGCGCTTTGTTTTAAGACAATATCCACACATTAACTGACTACCTGAACTTACTCCTTATTAAGTGAGGGTGACAGAGCTGGAAGGCACAGAACTAGGTAAAATAAGCAAAAGTGAGTTATGATCTTAGTCTTAATTTTACCAAGTAAGGACAGAATTCATTCTGATCCTCTTTTCCCAGACATTCTACTTAGATCCCCTTCATTAACTTCAGAACTGAGGTCTGTAAGTTAGAAGGTGAAATGACATGGAAGACAGCCATGAGTGGGCACAGGCCAGGGAACTTCTGGACTCTGTCCACAGCCAACGGCTTGGGGCCTATAATTCCCATTTCAGGCCGCTGGGACACATGATTACTCCTGGGCTTGGATTTAGCTTTCTCCTGGAGTCAGGCTAGCCTTAGCATTCATAGTCACTAATTCACATGACCTTCATGAGAGCTGTGGAAATTCTAACATTTTCTGTGCTTCAGAAGGCAGCAAGCCTGGCCAGTCTTTTAACTAGTATACATCCCATAGTACACTTTTGGAATGAAACAAAACCACTGCTGATAAGCAATCCATGGTCCAGAATGGCTCAGACAAGCTGTTTTACACACCAATACGTAGACAATGTAGATGTAAGTGATATCTATAAACACACACACACACACACACACACACACACACACACACACACACACACACACACCTCCTGTCTTCAGGGCAAGAATAAAGCTGAAATTCACTGGAGAGAGGAGTCAATTGAGAGAGTTAGTTTCCAAGTCTTGTAGAAATGGCCAGTTTTCTGAAGCAGATGTATACACTGGCCACATCTGTCTACAGAATCAGGTCTCAGATAAGCAGCCTTCTTCTAGAAAAGGCCAGAGCTTCAAAAGAACAAGAGAAACCATCGAAGAAGAAAGGGAGGTAAATCCACAGTCTAAGGGATGGGGAGGGTTGAGATGTTAAAAGGACCCATGCTAGGTTCCTCTGCTTGAGCAATTTCCAAAAGGGGAAACCTGGGCAACTCCCCATGGTAGAAGCCACCACTTCTGCTTCTGAAACCCAAGTGGCTATCAGCCCTAATGAGGGCTCTTTGAAACAACCTGAGATAGCCTGACTCCCTATAGAAGTTACACTTGCCAGGGTAAATAAAGCCTATTCAGTGTTCTGGTTTGAAACAAAACTCGGTGTTTTGTTCACAAAAATCTTTGCAAAGAGGAAAAAAATAAGACACTGACCATTAATGCAAGCTAAGCATTAAAAACCGCACACAAACATGCACGAGTGCATTTTCAACTCAACACCATCACAAGTTTCTCCTTGCAACTAGTAACTTACCTCCGTGTTCTAGAAACACCCGAACACATCTCTCCTTTCCTCTTGCAGCAGAGAAATGGAGCAAGGTCCAGCCATTAGCATCTCGGCCATTTGGGGAGTAACCTTGCTCCAGCATCTTTCGTACTGTGTGAACATCCCCGGCGGCTACGGCAGCCTGAATCTGCAGTTCCTCCTGGAGCTCAGGGTTTCTCCGACAGTGGTGGTGTAACATCCTAGCAGAGTCTGCTTTTCACCAACCAGTCATTAGGTCAAAGCAGTCAGCCTTTCGGGAAGGTAGAACACATGAAGTTTAGAATGTGAGGCTCTTCACACTGTGCCTGCTGACCACCACACAACTGTCCACATACAGTAAGCAATGGCAGTTCATTCTACTGGCTAACATGCATCTGCTAAAACCAAAATTTACAATAGCTGAATTGAGGTTGTATCAATTAAAAGTGTAAGCCAGACATAAATCCCTGAATTAACAGAAAAATCTCTTCTGCATCCTTCTGAAAACCTGAACCTACATTTGACCATCATGGCGCTATTTTAGGTAAAATGAGAGGTGGCATCAAGAAGCTAAGATGGCAATACCAGAGGAGCCAGAGCAGCATCAGTCTTGGGAATTCAAGACTGCACCTGATTTATTTGATGTGCCATCAAGATTTAACTCACGAACTACTCAAGGATTCTATCACAAGTCAGAGTCAATCAACATGGAGTACAGGAAACAGCCCATTATTCTGTGAAGGAAAAGGAAAGGCTGTCTTTAGGCTGAGTGTCTGAAGTAGTCCACAGTATCTGCTCTTTAATGAGGTAACAAAGCTTGGAGGAAGCAGGCTGAGCGAAGTGAGCTGGAGTAAAACAGATTATATTTACGCATGTATATAAGTACATATGTATGAGTGTGCATGTGTGCGTGTGTGTCTGTTGGGTTTTCTGGCTTTTTCTTCATTTTTCCCATCTCAGGCTATTTGATTATGATGTTTTGCCATTTCTTTTGTTGTCACATTCTTTCTTTTCAATTTTTTATTCATTTTACACACCAACCTCAGTTCCCCACCCTCCCCTCCTCCTGCTACCTCCTGCCAACCCACCCCATGCTGTCATTCTTTTAAAGTATTTTTTTCTAATTTCTGTACCAGAAGTTTTGCTTCATAAATACTCAAAGTAGCATGGTGAATAACCTGTTGGTTAACGACAAGACGAAATGATTTCAGTGAACAACAGTGCTGAGGATTCTCGAGCCTCTGCAGGTCATGGAGAAGTGTGTCCTTAAACCCAGCAGACAATGAGCTCATCCATGCACACAGGTAAAATGGTTACTTCTCATGGGGGGTACAAGTCTGTCTGTGTGCTTTCAGCATCAAAATATACACAGACTGACAAGCTCCTGGGAAGGTATTCTAACTGGGCTGGCTTTAAAGAAGCAATTAGACTAAATTTCCTAATTACTAATAGAAAAAAATGTGACAAAGCCCTTTGAAACCATTCTGGTCTCATCTGTAGGTTGGACATCTCAGGATAATTTTGCTATCAATAAATTTTCTTGTAAAACTTCTCAACACAGACTATCCATAGGTAAAGTAAGCATAGCTTGGTGGAGCCAACACAGGTTAAGAGCACAAACAGCTGATGTGCTTTTACACATAAAAATGACATCATTACAGTCTCAGTGATATCACTAAGTGATGTAATTTCAAACTATCAAGTTATTACCTCAAATAGCTGTTTCCTCAGAGAAAATTGGGAAGTAGGAAATTTCTTGATAATTTGTTCTCTTAATAAACAAGCTTCCTTTTGTTTCTTCACTTAATTACTTCCCTGAAATTCAGCCTCTTGTCTTAGAAATTTAACATAAAAAATACCTTTCAGAATAGGTATCAAAGTGCATCAGAATAAATTAACGAAAGCTCTCACTGTCTACTCAGACCATCATCGTTAAGAACACTTTTGAAATTTTTATTTTACTATTGGTTTTGAGTCTGTCTCATTTAGCTCAGGTTGGCCTCCCAACTTGCTATGTCGCCTAGGCTGGCCTTCAGCTCCTGATCCTCCCATCTCCATCTCCCAAGCGTTGAGACTGCAGGTGTGCTACCACATTGGCTCTGACTTTTGTGGGTATACGGTGTGGTACATGCGTATATGTATACACGTAGGGTGTCTTCCTCTATTTTTTTGAGCCAGGGTCCATCACTGAACCTTGACTCCACCATTTCTTCTAGATTGGCTGGCTATGTAGCCCCCAGGATCCTCCTTGTCTCTGCAACTCTGGTGCTGGGGATACAGGTGTTCATTTCCATGCTCAGCTTTTACACAAGTAAATGGGAATCCAAACTCTGGTCTTCACAATTGTGCACAAGCACATTACCCACTAAGCCCCTTCCCCAGTCCCAGAGAGTGTTTTCAAATAGGAGAGTATCTCAGCACTTGAAAGAGGTCTATTATGGAGGAAAAGGACTGAAACAACAAAATCAACTTAGGTTTTTCTTTCAGTGCCTGCTGCACTGTGGATACATTAGTTTATTCTTTAAATCACAATTTTACTCATTCACTTCTGTTCAACTCTATTCTGTTCCTGCTGGAGACTGAATTCAGAGCCTTCAGCCTCTAAGCATATACTTTATTACTGAGCTTCAGCCCCAATCAACTCATCAGCAGTTTCCAAGGGGAAAAGTAAAAGGTAAGTGGTATTTCCCTCAAAAACAGCATAGGAAACTGATGACCCTGAGTCATCTTACCTTACAGAAGAGTGACTCTTCTCTTGGGAGACAGATTGCCTATTGACCATTGTGTACAAGCAGCATCATGGGGAAGGGGTTCCCAGTGTGTTCAGGCCTCAGGGCAAGAGTATTCTTCACCTAAAAACAAATCAAATAACAATCACAAGGGCTTTCCTAAACTGACAAAGAACCACAGCTGTCTGCATGGTCCACTTTTTAGCAAGTTTAAGTTTCAGGAGTTTATAACAAATTGACAGAACTCAGAGAAGGTTTGGGAGAAAATGATCTTGCTGCTTACAACCATCTCCAAGACGCTATCAAATATGATTTATTTTTGGCGTTCTGGTCCCACCCCATTCCCCAGCTTCTTGTAAAAGAGTAAATAAGGAAAACAACAAATCACACATGTAGAATTTAGATAAAAGCTGAGATGTCTTATTTTTTCTACTGAGAATGTATCTTCAGGCCTGCTCCCTTTGAGTTACTTTTTAAGGACACCATCAGTCACCTGCTCTTTTTAAACAGGACTAAAAGAAAAAAGAAAACGTGTGCATTCAATACAGCAGCTGCCCAGGGCCAAATGTAAACTATGATAAGTAAAAGGAGATTAGGCTTTGAACGGTGGCTCTTCATACGCCTTGCAGGCATCCAGTCAATAACATTTACATGCACACAACAAGCTACTTAAAACATTAACTAGCCAGACTTGTTGCTAGCTTCTCTACATGCATTCTTCAGAAACAAAACAATAAAAACCCAGCCCAACCTCTTTCTCCCTCAACAATGAAAAGAAAAGGACTCTTTCCCCATTCCCAGTGAGCCCGTTCTGTACATTCCATTCAGGTTAAGAACATCAGAGACCCTCCACACCATCACAAGGAGATCACTCTAGGCATTAGCCCACTGGGAGTCCTGCCACCCCTTCTGGTGTGTGTGTGGGGGGGAGAGGGGGTGGCTGCGCCTTTATCACTTAAATTTTCAGACACGGAGAGGGACAGGCCACCTGCCAACCTGGCATGTGCAGGGGAAGAGTGGCAGTTGTATAGACTTACTGGCTGTGCAAGGGACAGTCAACTCAAATTGGAATCATGTTTTCCTTTTGTTCTCTTCATGTTTTCTTTTTCCTTGCCTTGTCTTTTAAGACAGCAAAATGTTTGCATGAACATGGAACTAAAATCTGAGTGCAAACTGTGCCTATTATTTCTCAATAAATGAAGTAGACATGGTCAGAACAACTCCTTCAAAGCAAAGTATAAATACCACGGAACAATCCTTGCAGAAATGGACAAAGACTGAGGCAGTTAGTCTACTAGGTGAGCCTGGAGCATATTACAGTGCCTGAGGGCAAGGAAGTGCTCAAAACCACAGTAAAGCCACCACCATGGGACAAAGGAGCCACCATCAGGGCTCTCAACAGAGAGAGCACTGATGACTTTTCACTCTGATGGCATCTACATGTCAAGAATGAATGACATCAGTTGTGTAACCCAGCACTAAGCCACCGGTCACCCAGGCAATCCTGGTTAAAGTCAAGGTGGGGGAAGAAACTGACAGGCAGGGGATGGAAGGGACAGGAGGTGGGTGGTGAGGGTAAGCAGAAGGCAATATATACCGGTATGAAACTGCCACAGAACAAACTTCATTCCTCAAATGAAGACCCAAAAGAATGAATGTTATCCAACACCTTACTTCTAAGTGTGTCTTCAGTATTCTCTGTCTCCCTAGAGACATGAAAATGTCCCAGTGCGGATTCAAGTCTTTAAGAGTTCTTGCCGATTTTCACAGGCCTCCAAATGCCCACCACCATTTTCAGAGACAGCTGGACATGACAGAGAGGAACCATGGGAGGTAGGTATTGAAGAAAGCATCAAATAGTATTTCCTTCTAATATCAGGAAAACACTGGGTGTTAAAAGGTAAGGGGATCAAATTATTTCTCCCTGCACCAAAGATAATAATTCCCTGTAAGTGACTTTGATGGGACAAATAGATAGCCACTAAGTGCCTCATGTGTGCTCTGCACAGCTCAAGGCCTCCTAAAATAGATAGTACATTTAAAATGACATTTAAAAAATATTTGTGTGTGTGTGTGTGAGAGAGAGAGAGAGAGAGAGAGAGAGAGAGAGAGAGAGAGAGAGAGAGAGAGAGAGAGAGAGAGAGAGAGAGAGAGAGAAAGTGTGTGTGTCTGCATATAAGTAAGTGCACCACATGCCTGCCTGGTACTTGAGGAGACCAGAAGAGAGCTTCAGATTCCGTGGAACTGGAGTTGCAGGCAGTTGTGAGTAACTCTGTGTGTGCTAAGAACTGAACCTGGGTCCTCTGTAAGACAAGAATTCTTAACTACTGAGACATTTCTCCAAGGGCCCCTTAAAATGACAGTTTTAAAAACATTAGACACTTTGGATGCATGTGCAGCATTACAGGGGAGAACACACACATGTGGTGTACCATGTACACATGATCTCTGTTTTTTGCCCCATTGTGAATTATAAAGAGCAGTGACTTATTATCAAAGTAGCCTCAAAGTCCAAGGCATCAGACCAGTAATTGATTTTCCCTTGGTGTGATTTATGGGCACTCAGGTATGTACACACAAAGGGGGGAAGCACCATTGGCCTTAAGAACAAATAAAAATTCAGCAGCAAAGGTGCCTGTAAAAACAGCCATCAGGAAAAGCCACAGGTGGGAATGGAAAAGCCTAGTTTCCTACAGGGAATAACAAGTTCACAATTCTGATGGCTCAAGAAATCACCTATAAAACACGACTCTCGACAAAGGAGCAATTTTCTAAATAATGCACATTCAATGGAAGGTTCTCTTAAATGAAGCCAGCAACCATTGACACCAGACCAACCTCTAGAAATCACATTCTGTGTTCCAGTCAGAAAAGAAGTAAATAATAAACAAATATGGAAGACTCTAGAAGTGTCAAATGAATCATTTTCCCAGTGAGTATCATTTTAAGAAGTCTTACTACTTAATGTTAATACTTTGTTTACATTTTGCTAAATCATCAATTGTAAAGAAGTCAACAGTCTCCAAATTTTTATACAGTTGACCACATTGAATGCTACAAATTTTTTACAGCCTAATTTCTTTACAAGTGAACAACTGAAATCCATTCAGTTAAGATCAAAATTTCCTCACGTGGTTAAAAGAAAATCTATACTGAGATAACAGAGTGAAGTAGAATATACTCATAAATCAAGGTATGTTTGAAATTTGCCCGCAGCCTTCAACAAACCTGACATCTCTACAATTTCCTTTGGCACAAGGCTAGATATTAATGACTTCTGTGTATTATTATCTTCCATGGTTTTTTGTTTTGTTGAGTTGAGACACTGGGCTTCCCATGTAGTGCAAGCTGGGATCCTCCTGCCTCAGCTTCATGAGGGTTAGGGTTGCAGGCCTACTGCCTGTGTATACAACTTTTCATGAAGTGACACCAATGGCAACTCAGGTTCCTGGTCTCAAACCAACAAGAAATAAGTTCCTGACTCAAGAAAAAACAAGTACATTTCTTTGCAGAGTAAACCAAGATATGGAAAGAAAACCTTGAAGATATTGATTTTGAGAACAAAATCTAAAAAATCCACCACAAGACCCCAGAGGGAAGTCAGATACAGAAATATACTCTGTCCAATCAACGTACACAACATGACCAATGGGCAGGCTGCCGAGCTCCCCTGATACAATCAAGAGCCTGACACCCAAAGTAAAGCAGGTGTTATTTTAGTATCACTCAACATACCATACTGTTTATGTCCCTAAAGAAGGATATCATATTTCCTCCAAGACTGGACCTCTGTGTGACACCAAGATTTATTATCATGTACAACTTACCTATGACTCATATAAATTCTAGGAGAAAGCACAATGATTTTCACACAATGCAGATGAGGTGACAGAGAAGTTTAAAATCATTTATCCAGACCCGATTTAAAGCATAAACCACGGGTATTAGAAATGCTTTGTCAATAGTGTCCTATTAATGCAGGCATGCCAAGTCAAACTTAGCAGCCTCAGGCCAGCGGCTCAGAAGTTTGCCAGAACAGTACACTGAGGGAGAAGACTGAAGGTCAGCTGTCAAATATACAAACTATAGGTGACTTTATTTACCCATTTTAAGAATGGACTCACTAAGGCTAAATGTGAACAAAGACTAAATGTCAACCATCTAAAGACTACACACACTAAATGTGAATGCACTAAAGACTATACCCACACACATGAACAAAGTAAGACATTATACATTTACTTTATATATGATGTACACATGTAATCTAATAGAATTAACTGTGAATGACTGAAAGATAGAGTGGTCATAACTAAACATGTAGCACTTAAGTAGCATTAATTATTCTCCTTTTATGATATAAATCTGTATTTGCTTACCAAATAATCAGATTAGTGCCCCCCCACCATGTCACTCACAATAAATTTAATACAAGTTGACTGCCATATACAAAAATATAAACTAGCTGGTCATGTTAAGTAAATGTATAAATTAAATAAATTTTAAATGTTTGGCATAACCTCGACCTAACATTCTCAACCATGCTAATTATTACAACCCCGCCCAATCTCTGTCTCTGGGGGTGGGTGGTGGGGGTGTGGGGTAATCCCTTAATCTGAGGAAAACCATTGTCAGCTGAGCAGATCCATGCACTATTGTTTAAGCAGCAGTAATGGCCTGGCTGGAGACCAGGACAGAGCAATGTCCACCTTTACAAGTGTGACTAGTGTTCCTCATTTATAATCTCAGGTAAACATATCTCTCACTTAAGAATCCTAGCAAATACATCCTAAGGTTAACTCTAAGAGAAAAGTATTCTCCCACCCCCACTGGGGAGGCTAGACTACAAAATATATACTGCATTTTATCTTTGAAACGTACTTCAAATATTTTATTACCATTTTTCAAAAAGATATAAAGTACTCAAAGGCATACACTGCTGAGTTTCATATTTAACTGTAGAACCTCTCCAGCCTTGAGTTCTGTATTTAAATAATATCAACTACCGTTTAACTTGAGACACCTTTCATACACACACACACACACACACACACACACACACACACACACACACATTAATACTACCCTAAATTTTTTCCATAGTACAGTCATTGATTAATATTAGTTTGGTTATTTTTTTCCTCTCTCTCTCTTTCTTTCTTTTGCTCAGTTCTTTAAAACTAGGCCCAGGCTGGCTTCAAGTTCTCCATCCTTCTGCCTCAGCCATAAAAGAGTAGCAATCAAAGCAAGGCAGTGGTGGTGCCCACCTTTAACCTCAGCACTCTAACCTCAGCCCTCAGGAGGCAGAGGCAGGCAGATCTCTGAGTTCCAGGCTAGCCTGGTTTACAGAGCGAATTCCAGAACAGCCAGACCTATTCAGAGAAACCCTATCTTGAAAAACATACAAACAAAAAAAAGTATAGCAATTACAGAGAGGGCCCCATCACACATAGCTAATACACACTACTTTTAAATTCCATCCAGAACTTAGTATATATATATATATATATATATTGGCATCTAGTTTCAAGTCTTAAAAATATGCAAGCCTTCAGAGTCCCTTAAAATTATCTTTATGTCTTAAGTATCAGTAAAATCAAAAGGCATTATTTTTTTGTGTATGTTCAAGACAGGAAATCTAAAGGAACAAAGAAAAAAGTCTACCATTTAAAATATTTCTTTGTACTGAAAATTCTAAAAACATTTGAGTTATTAAAATAAATGAGCCACTTTTTATTTGTGATAACACCTGTTATAGGGTTATTCATTAGGTAATCTCTGTGTTGTCCTTTGTATAATTTCTTCTCTATATGGTTGGTTTTGCATATATTCTCTCTTTACATTAATGTTCTACACTTACCTTTAGGGCATTTTCGGAGACAGCAACAAAATAGGCAGCAGAAATCTGACCACATGAACTAGGTGCTAACATTTCAATCTAGAAAATTCTCTGTAAGGGTTTTAAAATGAGAAAACAAGAATGACCACTGCCAAAACCAAGCCCCAGATAGCTAAACATACCAAAATATTACTTTGTTTTATAATGCCTGACTGTGCCACTATTGTCAAGAAGATACAGAGTAAATTTTTGTAAGTTCACCTAGAACATCAGAGATGTAACAAATATTATGTATCACTTTGTAACAACTCTAGTGTTCATCCATTTTGCCACATACAAAAACTCCAAGAGTAAACTATATACTTCGTTTCGGGGGCTAATATTGCTTTTTTACAGTTCCCATTCTTAAGCTATACACGTTCACTTTTTTCCAAAGAAACCAAATTAAATTATTTTCTTCAAAACCAGTAAGTTTCAGTCCTCCAGTTCACCTTTTGCTACTACGCCATTATCAGTTAGGTAACTCTGAATGAAGCTTTCCTGATGGAGGTAGAGAGAAAACCATACATGGGGAAAACAGCAAATTGTGGTTTAATTAAAAGCGGCATCATTCAGAATTAACAAGCAATTAACATGGAATTGAGGAATTCCTATGAGAGTAAGGAAGGCGGGGAGCTACAAAAAGGTCTCAAAGCCTCAGAGCAGAGTAAATGACACCGTGTACCAAAAGATAATGCAAAACACGGAAACATTCTGAACGAGAACCAGAAGATGTTTCTGGGGTAGAGAAGTTATTGAGATGTTAAGGATCGGGCATGGGCAATGCATCTCTTTTTGCTAGGAAACTAGGGTCTAGAAAAGCTTGCATTCCCAGGCAACCACCCTGAAAATAAAGCATTGCTTAATGAGGTAGGGGCCGGGAATAAACAATGGGGGAGGGGAGGCCTGCTCTTTACCTTTAGAGAGGATGCTGATCCCAAGCACTCTACCTGCTGCTTCTAGTGGGTGGGCAGACCCCTTTCTGCTCGCGCGTGTCCTCCAGCCAGCTCAAACCTGGGAAACAGAAACCCATGAGTGGTGCAGTGATCCAGGGGCGAGGAGAGGGCTCTGAGGATGGGGGGAGCTAGGAAAGGCTGGAGAGTGGCAAGGGCAGGCAAGCGAAAGCAGGGCTTCTCCTTCCTCCCACACCCAGCCAGTCCCTTCCCCTCGGGGGGCAGGTAGCTGACTTTACCTGTCTCCTCAGCTGCAGCTCCTCTCTCTCCTATCAGCCTCCTCCACATTCACCAACTTCTCCATTGAAGAAACACCCCAGGCAGGGCCGGACACCGTGTTCCTGATCCTCCTCGGTGCTTCACGGCCCCAGCCCGAGAGCATCCAGAGAGCCGATCAAACTGGAGGTGGAGGTCTTGGCCTCGGAGCAGCCTCCGGGAAGGGGCTCAGGGAGGAAGTGCCGGCTCGGGTTGGGGGGGCAGTCCCGGTCCAGGGGCTCAGACCAGGGGTCTGCCGCGCGCCGGGCCGGAGGCTTCCAGCTACCGAGGGACTCAAGAGGTCTGGAGGCAGGGAGACCCCAAAGCGTACCGGGTCCGAAGTGTCAGGAGCAGGGTGTCCCGACAGGGGGCTTTCGGGATGCACTTTGCACTGGGCCACCCCCGCCCCCTCCTTCCAGCACTTTGGGGTCACTGGGATGGGACCAAGCCTTGGGCAACCAATCAGCTGCCGCACTGGAGCCTGCGCTCCAAGCCGTAAACCAGATCCGCGGTGGGTGGGGGTGGGGGTAGGGGTGGGGGCGACTTGGTTGGTTGGTTGCTTCCTTCTCCTCACCCCGAGGCCCCCACCCCCTTGGTGCCGTAAAGCTGCCTGCGGGTTCGCGACAGTCAGAGGAGGCGGGCCGGTAGGGGCTGAACCCCGTCTGTGATTGGTCGCTCTGGCTTCGACCCTCCGCTTCCCGGCAGTGGTGTCCGAGGCTCCACCCCCGGCCTGGAGACTCGAAGCGGTTGCTAAGAGACACTGTACTACGAATGGGGCTTCTACGCACGCCGAGGGAGGGGCGGGCGAGGCCTTCCGCGGAGTACGGTGGCCCGGAGCGAGCAGCTGCGGACGCGAGTGTCTGGGTGATGGCGGTGCGGCCCCGCTGGCTGGCGGTCAGATAACCCCGAGCCCAGGTTGAGCTGGGCGGCAGGAGCGGCGTGTGAGCGGCGGGTTGAGCGACGGGCGAGGCGACCGGGCCGAGGGCAAGCGAGAAGGGCCCTGACTCGCCGCCGCCCCGCTGCGCTTCTTGGAAACGAGCGGCGGGTCCTTGGTGCATCTGTCGGTCTCTGAGACCCGGTGAGCTTCCAGGCGGCGGACGCCTTGCCCAGCCTGCGAGAGAGCACGCTCTTTGGGATCGCGGTGAGGGCTCAAGGGCTTTCCTGCGAGGTTAGGGATCCTCGCGGTTTCCTGTGGCTGAAACGAGGCGGGGTGGGGGTGGAATTCAGTGTGGACACATTGATAGGTGATTAAATGCGTTTATTCGTTTAGTTAAGTGTTTACTGGCTTGATACTGCTCTAGTTGTTGGGGGAGACTTTGTGAGCATTCTCTTGCTTTTGTCGTACGAAGAAAAGATGAAACCACAGAATGATTAGAAAAACAGAAAACAAAGTAATGGAATCCGGTTTGACTAGGATGTGATGGGCTCTTTTAGATTGGTAGGAGAGATCTCCCAGAGAATGACATTTGCGCGACATGAATGACAAAAAGCTAGCTCAACAAAGATCTGTGGGAAGACCTTTGCAGGTAGAGTTAATCAGAAGCACAAAGCCTTTAGTACTGGAATAATTTTTGCTATTTAGACGCACGGAAGAAAAGCCTGTGGCCTAAGCAGAGTAAAGGGGCGGAAGGGAAATGAGACAAGGTTTGGGCAGCTGCTGATTTTGCAGGACTTTATAGGTTATGCCAGAAGGATTATAGTCTCCATGTTTTGTTTTGCAGCGATCAGTCAGTAGTGAAAACTGATATGGGGGAACTGGATTACTGCAGATGTTGTAGCTTATTGAGATATTTTGTTACAGGTGGGAGTCAAAGTGTTCTTTTCTTCTAGGCTGTCACTCATTTATTCGAAAGTATTCTTTTGGTGTCTTCCACAGGAGTAACCTCTTGTGTGGGCAAACGAGGTTCACCCATTCCCAGGAAAGGTCATAGTCAGGGATAGGGAGTGGGAAAAGGACCAGCACTGAAAACATCTGAGGACAATACATACTGTGGTTTTGACAGAGAGCCTTGGGCCAGGCTGTCTAGTCCTGCCTTGATTATATACAATGTTTCTAGGGACTAGTTAGATTCTCGGTTAAAAGATGATAGTAGATGGGAGACTGCCGAATATAATTTCATCAGAAAGGGGCTTACTGAAAGCCCGAGTATTTTTCAAATGTGTAGTCTACAAATTACTTTGTGGGCACAGAAGTAAAGAGGCACAAATAGGCAGGTCTTAAAGGCCCTGCTAGGCCATGTGTTTTGGGAGTTTGGGACATTTTCCTAAGAAAAATAGATTTTCAGGCTGTGGATGGTGAGCCAAGATAAAACCACTTAGGAGTGAGTCCATTGTCTGTAAAGGGCAGAAGTGGTTCACTGAGGCAGTGGCAGTGAGGAGGGGGGATGGGGTGGAGGGTTCCAAAATGCAAGGCTTCTAGCCTCCATAAGTACCTGAGTGGACTCCATACACTCAGCTGAGGAGGAGTACAGGAAAATGTGCATTTGAAGGGCATGGAATGAGTTGAGTTTATGCTCAGAGTACCTGTGGGATCTCCACGTGGAGTTTTGCAGGAGGCATATGGGTGCTTACACACAGACTCGATGTTAGTATTCAACGAAAGCCAAACTCAACATTTTGAACTGTAAATTTTTCTTGGAGTAATGATATACAGTCAGATAGCTTCTTAAGATGCCGGGCAGTGGTAGCTAGCCATGACTCCCAGGCAGCTGCACAATCACCAGGGGGAATCAGCCAATGCTCTAAGAGTGTACAATGTTTCCAGTATTTATTGCTTATTGTGTTTTTATATCCCCTTATATCTATATAAGATACAGCAGGCTTTGCTTTTATCTCCTATACACATACAGCTATGGTTTCTCTCTTGTGGTACAGCACTTAATAAAGGACATGGGAGATTCAGTACTTCGTTATGAAATGGGTTGTATTAGATGAAATTTGCCCATCTGTAAGCTAATGTGCATGCTCCAGACATGGTCAGGAAATTAGGTTATAAGTGGGGATTTCTGCTTATGATGTGTTTATTGGATTGTAGCCTCATGGAAAGTATCTGTACACAGCCCAGAAAGGAGCGAGCCCCTAACTTGTAGACGTAAAATTGAAGACATAAAAGTCCGTGCATGGAATTATTCTAAGAGGGGGATAGGGAGGGCTGAGCTCTGGGAGGTCCTGACTGTGAGAGACCAGGTATGGAAGAGGATCCAGAGAGGGAGAATGAGCTCCACCATGGACTGCCTTGCAAGAAGTCAGTGTCCTTTTAGAAAAGGTGGGCTTTTTTTCTTTTAATGGAAAACTGACAGTTGTTACTTATGTGAGCATAGGCCTGTCTTCCCTTTAGAGGAACTGTGCCTTTGGCAGGAGGCATACTGATAAAATTTTAAATGGAAAGCATGTATGAAGATTACATGCATGTAAGAGTAGTAGAGGGCTTTGTTTTAAAGGGTACGTCCAGGCATGAGGAGGCATGAGGGCATATGACCAATGTGGGCTAATGATTAAGTTACTGTTTCCCTTAATGAGCCCCACAGGTTTCTTTCCCTCCTTCAATGGAAAGCTTCTCAGAAAATACAAGTTCTCTAAACATCCTTAAATTCATTTATTTGTTCATTGTATGTGTGTGGGGTATACATGTACCACTCACTGTGTTCCGTGTGGAGGATACACTGGTTCTACACTATGTGGGTTCCAAGGATCAAACTCAGGTCATCAGGCTTGGCTGCAAGCTCCTTTACCCACTGAACCACTTTGCCAGCCTAGGAGGACATCTTTAATGGCTTTACTGAAATTAGAAATTGTACTGTTTTGTTTCAGTAAGACCCAGGTTGTCACTTCTGGCTATTAATGTAGACCAAACGTATGTAACCACTTACTCACAGAAATATGTGCTGTTGTGCAAGCAGATTCAGAATTCCAACAACAAACAAAAAACCCCAGCAACAATGACACTATTTTGGAGGATTCCACATATTTTCCAAAGCCTTTTAATCCTCATTTTATCCTTGGTGCTCCCTGAAGTCTCTGTTTAAAATGGATGCCTGACCTATAATTAGAAACCAGTTATATCAAAGACTAATCAATGGTATGTTTTGATTTTTTTCACTCTACAGTGATTTACTGTAAAAACAAAGGATTGTCCTAGACAGTTTGGAGACCAGAACACCTTGCCTTTAGTCTAACTCCTTTACCTTTCAATGCATTTAAAGCACTAGCATACTCACCAATTGGCCTAGGCAAAATCTGTACTTTCTGCCTAAAGTAATTATAACTGAAGTAATTCCCCTTAAGACCCTGCATGAGGTCTGCAGTGCTCTTAGGGTTATGGGATTTGAGAATTACAAAAAACAGTCTAGACTAGGGCTTTTAAGATTTTCTTGCAATGGCTTACCATTATTTTATGATAACGTGAAAGAAATCTGTTAGAGGCCTTTGCTTTTGCACTAATCCCAGCTGACCAGCCAGACCAAACCTGAATAGTCATTTGTGCTAAGTATAGGTAATCATACTGAAATTTGAAATAGGCTAGTTTTGTTTTTGTTTTTTGTTTTTGTTTTTTTAATGACAAAAATAAAAAGTTCACAAGGGCTGTACAGCAGGGACTCATTGGAACCCACTGTACTTGAGCCAGCTTGGAATGATGTCATTCCTAGAAAGAAAGTGACTCAGAAGTGAGCATCTTTTTAATATTCTGTTTTTGTTTGTCTGCCTATGGAGCACAACTCCACTGTCCAGCTCGATAGAATGTCTTCTTTATGTGATGTCTGGAGTTTGGTTCAGAGATAGAGTACTCACCTAGCATGTGCCAGGCATTGGGCTTAACCCTGAGCTTTACAGGAAAAAAGAAAAAGGAAGAAAGAGAACAGTCATTAAATGAGATGTTGCCTAATTAGTGAATCACTGACTAAAAAAAGAAAATGTTAGATCTTTACATTTGTTAAGGTTTTATTTTTAACAGTGCAGGTGTACTTTACAAGTTAGTTTTTAGGACATTTGCTAAGTATAGAATCAGGCAGTTTCAAACTCCATCAAGAAGGAATCCATGTGTAGAGTAGGGAGAAGACACATCATAGAGTGCAGAGCCGTCAGCTCCGGCCAGATGCTGCTGCTGGAGAGACAGGAAGGCCTGGCAGCACCTTTGTGAGGGTCACTGCGCCCTCCACATGGCCAGCTCAGTCATCTTCCAGTTAAAAATCCCACATCTAAGTTGCAACAGCTTTTCAAATGATGTAGAGATAGCAAGAGGAACACCAGATAGCCAGAATTACACAAGGTGTGCTATTGGAGAACCCAAAATTCTTTATTGACTTCGGCTATCAGGTTTGCTAATTTGTAAATTATAAATCTTTGTCTCAAAAGCAGTTTTGGCTGCATAGCTTTGGAGCTCAGAGAGGCTGGAGGTTGCTTTTTCTTTGGTTGACTTTTGTTGCAGTGTTGGGGGTCAAACCCAGGGACTCACACCTGCTAGACAGCTGCTGTGTCACTGAGCTACACCCCAGCCTTAGACTGCAGAATACTATTATTTATATTAGAAGTATTTAGAAAATTTGTTTAAATGACAAAAGGTTAAGTGTTGCGAGATGAAAAAATATTAGTTCTGTATACAAAAAGTTAATTTAAATTAGTCAACTCCATATATATTCCCAGTTAGACATCTATACAATTCTATTTATTTGAGGATAAGGACAGTGTTTGCATGCAAACACAATACAAATATTCTGACAAAATTCAGACTATAAATATTTTCAAATTTTAAAGTAGTAAATATATTTCAACAACAACAAAAAATCCCTGATTTGATTTCATGATTTTATCTTACCATGGCATGGTTAGTTATTAATTTTAAGAAATACCTTTTTATATTTGTTTAGTTTGCATGTGTGTATGTATGCATATGAAGCTCAGAGGACAACTTTCAGTAGTTGGTTCTCACCTTCTGTGGTAGGGCCCAGGGATGGGACTCAGGTGTCAGCCAGCCTTCATCCACTAAACCATCTTGCCAGCCTTTTTTTCTTTTTAATACAAGAGATATTGATACTATAACACATTGGCTTATTAATAGTAAGACATTTATATTTATAGTATCAGTGTGGGCAAAATATTTTAATGTTCATTATTTACTGTGTTTTAAACCTTCAGGATCCTGTC